GCCTGGGGTTCTCCCTCCCCAGGTGCAGGACCTTAATTTTGCCCTTGTTGAACCTCATTAGGTTCTTCTCTGCCCAGCTCTCCAGCCTGTTCAGATCACTCCGTATGGCAGCACAGCCCTCTGGAGTGTTGGCCAGCCCTCCCAGTTTGGTATCATCAGCAAACTTGCTGAGGATACACTCTGTCCCCTCGTCCAGGTCACTGATGAATATGTTGAACAGGACTGGGCCGAATATTTACCCCTGGGGGGGAGCTGAAAGGAAAATATGGAGCTGATATTTTTATTCTGTAACCTTAAGACACTCCTTTTATATCGGTGAACCATTTGAGCTGTGATCATTAGGACACAAAAGTGTCACTATCTAAAATGTAGAGATTGAGAATTTTAGCAAATTACTATTTACAGAGATCTAAATCTGACATTGGCTTCAGGTCCAAAACTCAAAATAATACTTGCATGAAAGTTAAGCGATTCCATGTAAATAACAAAAATCTATGGTCTCGTTAGCAGAGATCTAAATTTATATTATGAAGCCTACCTAAAATGTTAAGTTTTTCTAAAAAGATACTATACTACATATTCATAAAACACTACATATAAATAATTATATCAATATTTTGTAGATTTAAAAATATATCCAAAATATATTAAAAAATCAAACTGAAAACTGTATAGAGATTTATTATACACTATGCATATTTATCTAATTTTAGGAAATGACCATATCAACACTGAACTTGGTGTAAGAGCATTTAAATGGCAGTCTGATGATGACAGAGCGTAAGCTTCAACCTAGATGGTTAAATTGTTGCCTGTATATCAAAGGTACAGCACAGGCTAAGGAAGACCATCAGAGTTTGCAAGAAGGCTGGTATACTTCAGGATCACCTCAGATCCCACTTTTGCAGTAAGTGTCAGTTACTAAGGATGAAATTGTTGTATTCACCCAGAAGGATTTCCCCCCTTCAAAATAGTTTAGGTCAAAAATCAGGAGTTACCTTTAACTCAGGATCATTTTCCTTTTGTTTTAATACATCCATATAGTGCTAGGCAAACCTGGTATGATACAGTCCTAATGTGCTATAAACAACTTATTGGCTCAACTCACACATTTGGTAGAGGTTAATAAAATCATACATATTTCTTTAATCTTAGGGTTTTGTGACTGAAAAAAAAAAGTCAGCAATACCCCCTGAAAAGATAAAAATTTTGCAGCATTATGTAGGTCAGTTTTACATGAAGAAATGAATCCACCTTATGCAGCAGAAAGTGGCACCGTAGGCAACAAACCCCTACTCTTCAAATAGCTTCCAAAAGCAGATGAAAGCTGAAGAAATATAAAGAAAAGGACTTGAAGAACAAAGGAGAATCTAGGACAGGTTAAATGTCTGTGTTGTAAATGAGACCAGTGGTTAACAAAACAAGCTTAGGATGATAATATAAATCCTGTTTAAGCACTGGATGGCAGCTCAGGCCTTGAACATTATGGGCACAGGCTGAAAGTAGAGGCTCCAGAACTGTAAACAAGTCACTAATGGCCAATTAGTGGTCACTGCAAAAAAGTGCAACAAGCATTCTGAAAAGACTGCTTTTACATTAAGAACAGAAGCAGCAGTTGAACAAAAGAAAAAAATGCAGCTGAAGGCACTGCTTCGATCTGGGGAATTAACACCCCTTAAAGGATTTTGCATAGATTACAAGAGGGTCAAGAACCATCTAGAAACTAAACCACCTAAGAAATCAGTTAGATCCCAAACTGGGTGTAGGGAAGAGAAAATGGTAGAGAAGAAAAAAAATTACCCACTTCAGTTCTAGTTTCCCCTTGCAGAAGGACTCTTGAGTTTGTCTATGTCATCTTGTCAACTAAGGCCATGACTGGTACCCATCATTGCCAACTCCACAGCATCATAGAATCAGAGAATGGTTTGGGTTGGAAGGGATATATTCACATCAAATTAAGAACACAGATGTTAAGGACTGACTGTTTTGAATATGTAGTGGTAGTGAATGATAGTAAGAAGTAATTTGTAGCGCTAATGACAAGTAATGTGTAAGAATAACTAACTAGCACACCCAGCACTGTTAATGATTGTCAGTCCAGTAAAGTCAGGTTGTTTTGTTGGGTGTTTTTTAAAGTTTAAGAGAAACACTTAAGAAAGTGGCACACAGCACAGTGATACATGGGCATCCCTAATCTTCAGGTAATTTTCAGTTAAAAAGCAGTGTTACTGAAAAACGTAGAGTGGAGATGCAGAGTACTCTTCACTGAAAAGAAAAAAAATCTCAAAGAACCAGTTAGTACATATACTGTATACCTTTCTGTTCTTCAAATATGCACCTGTTTGAATCCCAGAAAATATTTTCTAGGATGGTGACACCAATGAATTTTCAGCTTCTTCATTCAGGCAATAATTGAACTAGTCTTCCTACAAACCCAACATCTGATCTAGTCACCACATAAAGAAATGATATGGAGCAAAAATCAGTCACTCCACAGTCATACTCCAGGAAGGAGTATTTTGGTATTTGGGAGGACCTGGTTAGAAATTGGTCAGCAGGTCAGATGTAAACATTTTGTGACTGATTTACAGATTCTTAATGAGAAGGCAGCCTTTCCAATGAACTAGTATTGGCTAGGAAAAAAAAAAAAAGAGGGTAAAACAGGAGAAAAAAATTTTTAAATATCTATGTTACTCTTCCACCAGAATCAGAACAATATTATGCCTCTTCCATTAGTAAATAAAGCTTTGATAAGACTGCCAAAATAAAATAAAATAAACCCCACATTTAATATTGTTGTTGCTGTCCTTCCTGACAAACAAATCTACCACAGATGCTTTCCACTGCCAGAATTTGGGTTTTCTAATAGACTTTTAAAATGATGTTGCAAACAAGCACAAGAAACCTCACAAGGAACTATGCAGAACAAACACAACTCATCAGCAGCCAGTGAATACCAGACTCAAGACATTTATAGTTTCAGGTGATCCTAACATTATCTTTTCCTACCTGTTGCTGTTTAGATCGGTCATTCCAGACTGAACCTTAAATGGCTGCTAACAAGAGCAAGAAACCTTTTTCTGTGCACTTAAATGTTCTAATAAATAAGAAAGGCTACTAAGAAACTGTTGGGGTTTAACCCCAGTGGGCAACTAGAACCATGCAGCTGCTCGCTTACTCCCCTCAGTTCAGATGGGGGAGAGAATCTTAAGAGTGTGAGGAAAAAAACCTCATGGCTTGAGATAAAGGGAGTTTAATAGTTAAAGCAAAAGCCGCACATGCAACCAAAGCAAACTACAAATTCATTTATTACTTTCCATCGGCAGGCAGGTGTTCAGCCACTGCCAGGAAAGCAGGGATTCATCATGCATAACAGTTACCTAGGGAGACAAACGCCACCATGCTGAATGTCCTCCACCTTCCTTCTTCTTCCCCTAGCTTTATATATTGAGCATGATGTCATATGGCATGGAATAACCCTTTGGTGGTCGGTTGGGGTCAGCTGTCCTGGCTGTGTCCCTTACCACCTTCTTGTGCACTCCCGGCCTACTCGCTGGTGGGGCGATATGGAGGAGCAGAAAAGGCCTTGACTGCCTACCAACAACTGAAAACACCAGGGCGCTATCAAAAGTATTTCTCATTCCAAATCCAAAACATAGCCCTATACCGGCTGCTAGCAAAAAAGTTAACTCTATCCCAATGACAGAGAAAAAGCACCTATTTAATCAATTACCTGGCTGACCTGTAGATGACAAGTACATAGTTCCCAGCTACATTAACTGAAGTGTAGGTTTAACTACCAGAGACCTACATACTCACATGGGCACCTGTACTCAGCAAAGCCTGAACATGACATTATGAAGAATAGGAGTTGAGAGGAGCTTTAATTTTCTCTGAAAGACTATCAATTTTCCATACAAAGCACTATCAGTCATACATACAACATGTCCGAGAGAAGAATATGTAACCTCTTTTGAAACACTTCCAATCATGCATGAATAGAGATACCAGTTTTGCCCTTTCCTAGTCCTCTTCAGCCTCCTATATCTTTAAAAAGATTGTCACTGGTAGTTTTCTGATTTGGTCTTGAATTTCCTGCTAAAGAATTAGAAATTCTGTGCTCAGAGGGCAGCCGCCTGGTTTCCCATCGTAAGAGAAAGCTTTAGACTCACACCTCAAGACACGGATGTTCTTATGAAAATAAATCAAAGACTTTTGATTTGAAGAATCTCTGAAACTAAACACACCTACTCTGGCTATTAGTGAAACGTGGAAGAGACAGATAATCATTTATGCCAAAGGTGCCGAGCAGGGTTTGAGTGTGGAACTGCTTAACAAGATCTGCTCAAGAAAAAAATGAAAGTAGCTCACGATAATTTACACAGTGAGTCATGTATCATTCTGAAGGATTCCAGAAGCTCAGTCTGGGATAAAATATAGGAGTATAGAGGATCATCAGACATCTTTTTTAGTAACAGAGAACTCACGGTGTCTGCCATCTCTTTTGGTACAAAAGACAACACAGCATAAATGAGCAACTTCAAAAATGCGTGGCTTAGGCTTCTTTTAAGGTGTTTCAACAGGAACCTATTGAACTAACAGTTGATACTCAAAGAAGGGCTTATTCTCATAAAAGAACAAAAAATGAATATGTAACCTTAATAAAAAGAAAATGGCTTTCTGATTTGGAAAATGTCTGTTCTCAGGTAATGTGAGGGGTTCTGAGAGAAACTGAACTTATACTTGGTCACACAAGGTTCAATATATTCTAATGGAAAAATATAAAGCAGCATTACGAGTTCTAAAATAGCTTAAGGAAAACAGGTAATTAGAGAAGCTCTTTAACAAAACAAGAATGAAGAACCTCTTTGCTGTAAACTTTAATTGGTGAAAATCATTCACTTATTCTGCCTTTTCTCATAGCATATTCAGATAATGAAAAAATAGCAGCTTTATTTCTGCTAAAGCATTAGATAAAACGTGTTTTCTACGTTACTCACCTGTTTTCATTTCTAACAAGCGCTTTTTCTTTTGTTGCCTCTCTTGTTTTTCTTTTTCTGCTTTTTCCTTAGCTATTTTAGCACGCCTCTGTTTTTCTTCTGCTTCCCTTCTTCTCATGTTCTCCTTTACTGCTTGCTATGAAAAAAAAGGTAATATAGAGTTCCATTAAAACTGATGTCTCAGCACAGTCAAAACTGAACCTTAAAAAGAAAGAAAAAAGCTTTAAAATCACACCTCCTAACTAACTTTATCAAGCCAAATAAATATTTTACATTCCATGTTTACTACATTTTCTTCAGAACAGTAAGCAAATTCAGAATAAATACATTAAAAGCCTACTAATTAGCCCCAAATGTTGTTTATAAATTCAGCAAGAAATACTGCTTAAGTATACACATGTTAATGTAGGAAGAACTCAGACTAAACCACCTGGTTTCACAAAACTTAAAGTATGTTGCTATTTGTATTTCTAGAATAGTTTCAACAAATATTCTTTCTCATGCTTCCACTATGCCAAGCAAAACAAAGTGACTTCGCTGTGCATTTTTCTTAGACTTATCCAGATATGCATTATTTCACTTGGTTTATAAATTCCTGTCTTCTGGTTAATATCTCTACAACTGTTCATTTGAAATTCTAAATAAGTACTCCAAAGCTTCCAACGAAGCCAAAACAGAACTATGGGTTTCAGAGGTTAGAAATCATTATTTTGCATATTCATACATTAAGCAAAAATACTGTGTCACATTCAATAATTTTTTAACAAAGCTACCATAGGATTACCTTTTCATTCTGTCTTCTGGTTAATATCTCTACAACTGTTTATTTGAAATTCTAAATAAGTACTCCAAAGCTTCCAATGAAGCCAAAACAGAACTACAGGTTTCAGAGGTTAGAAATCATTATTTTGCATATTCATACATAAGCAAAAATACTGTGTCACATTGAATAATTTTTTAACAAAGCTACTATAGGATTACCTTTTCATCGTTTTAGTGTTAGCTACGTACACTGGTAAATTGTCAGTGCTCTAGTATGGCTTGCATTAAACGTGAAGTGCCACGCACTTGTTCTTCACTGCAGAAAGTTTCTCTTTTTTCAGCATGCAGTTACACACAGAACCGCATCTTTCACAACAGATCAAAGTGTCCCCCCCCTACAAAATGGCTAACATCTTCACAAGGTCTGAGGCAGAGGCCACACATTTGCAGCGCTAATTAACGTCTCGCGTTATTTTTAGCAGGAAAATGCCCAGCCTGCACTCAGGGGAAAAAAAAAAGTAAGAATGGACTGAAGAGTACTATAAAGTACAGATGAATGTGGATTACAGCAATATTTGCATGAACACTGTCTGTGCAGCGTCACTGCAGTACAGTGACCAAAGGAAGTATAAAATATATATATATATATATATATTAAAAAAACCCACATAAATCTCATGAGGAAATGCCTGTCTTTGATAACTGAAGAAGAATAAGCTTTCAATCATGAAAAAGGACAACGAAATGGACTTCTTAAACAAAGCAAAACTGTGTTTCCACAGTGTCCTCTCCAGAGTCACCTCTATCAATTCTCTTGATACTTGGGCAAGGGAGGGGAGAAGCCTATTGCAAAACACTAACATTCTTTATTGGATTAATTTTAACAAATTATTTACTGATTTTTCAGACTGAGTATTCTGTAAAATAAACTGGTGGGCAAAATTCAAATGGGACTCAGGCACAAGTACAATTTTGGCAGAAATGACACACTTTCCTAACAGAGTGACCAAGGCAATTTCTACTTTGCATCTACTTTTCCCCCCCAAATAATACTGCTAGTAGGACCCAGCCTCAGACTGCAGTCATCCAAATATCTTCCTATCTATCTGTCTACTCTATTTCTCCCTAATCACACTGATGAACTGCACTCTATTTAGTAGCTCACACCTTCATATCCAGTGTAAACTGGACATTCTGGAGTATCACAAATTGCCTCTAGCTTTTCTCTAGCAGGACATGGGTCTTCTGTAAGTTCTGTGTCATAACTTAAAATGTCATGCTGATGATGCCTTGGATACCATTTAAGACACCTCTCCAGGATACTAGACACTTCTGTTGTTAGGTCTCCTTTGAGACATCAGGTAGACAAGTCTCCAAATTCCACTAACTGTACTGAATATGCATCTCCCTTGACTAGAACATGAGATTAGACCCTTAAGCTCACATACAGATGCCAATGTTTAGAGGTCTATGCCCTAGAGTCAAATCCTATCTTACATGTTCTCTGTGTTTTAGACACAAAACATCAGTGTCTAAGGTTCTCCAAAATGTTTATACCAAATTGTCACAAACTTGGCTGAATCAAACATATATTTATCTCTCACAGTTTGCATTTAAAAGACTAGATGTCTTAACACTTCCTTGCTCAAAAGGCCTAAAAGATGAGACATGCTCTGACCGCATCTGCTATATACAAGCAGCATTGCATTCAGCACGCGGCACTGTATGCAAACTTAACTTTCAGAAGAATTACCAAAGTATACACCTCTTGCATACCATGCCAAGGCCTAGAGTTTCCAAGATGGAGACATTCTTGGGTTCTCTCTTGTGCTTTCCAGGATCGTTTCCGACTTTCATTCAAGTATTTGCATAATATAAAAGAAAAATTCTCTAGTGTCTACGGAACAAATTCTTACTTGCTTGCTCTTCCTCTGGTTCCTTAAGTCATGTTTCTGTGGCAGAGCAACCTAGCATCGACAGGAGCAGGGGCTTTCTATAGCCCTCTGACTAGCGCACTGTCTTGGACAGAAGAGCTGTTGACAAAAGACCTCTTTCCTCCTCCTCCTACAGCTGCAGGAAAATTCTAACCATTACACAAACACAAGGAGAGGAAATACTCATATTGCTTCATCTTATTTCAGAAACCTATCCTTCCAATGAAAGGAATGAGCCTCTTAGCAGTACCTCTGATGCTGTGAAAGCACAGAAGGAGGTTAATAGAGATGTCCAATACCTACGATGTTCCACTGACTGTACCAGGAATTTAGCTTCAGGAGTTAAAGCACTGAATGCAGTGTGCTTCACCTATTTTTTGGATCTGGCCAACTCACTGTACTCTAGATTTGGTGTTCAAAGACCATGAACTTGAATGGTGGCCACAGCCACCGAATACTACTGAATTCAAAGTACAGTCTAAAGTTGGCTATGTACCTGAAGTCTATGGCTCCAGATTTATACATGTTTTTTAAAACTTTTTAAACATTTTTATTATTTGAGAACAAAAATCACACTATAAGTAGGTAAGTACTGTATGTAAATTATCAACTTTCCTTGACAACAAGGATGGCTGAACTTAGTGTTCTAGGATATGAACCACCTTAAGTTTGTCAGTAATCAAGACCAATGCTAAACAAGTCTGAAAATCAGACCTTGAGTGTCTCATGCTGGGCATCTCAAAAATCTTTTCCCAAAAGTCTCAAAACTGAGCAAGTACTCAATATTTAGTTTAGTGTCATTGAATGATAAGTGGTTTCATGCCTTATCTACACATCTTTTTCATATAGCCTTCAAACTGTGCTCTGCAAGACAGAATTATTAATTTTCCTCAAGGTTTCTTCCATCATGCTCATCAATAATATCTAACTGTTTCGAAGCACTAATTAATCTATCTTTATAACAGTGCTGTGAGCAGGGGTTAGTATCAGTGCTAATTTTACAGACACCAAAAAGAAATATGGAGAAATTAAGGTAAAGGAGAACCACTTTTTAAAGTCTCAAATTCAAGATGAACTTAAGCATTTAAAATTCTTATTCTACAGCATTTAAAGGGGACATGTAGTTTAAACAGCAGAAATTAAATACAACCATTTCAAAATATTTAGCCATTTTGAAATCAGACTCCTGAGTTTCAATCTGGCATATGTAACGTGCCAAACAAAATCATTCTGATTGATCTGTGCCTTCTAGGTTTTTAGCTGTTAAACTCTGAAGCAGCAGAGGCTTGGTAATCTTCACATGTTGCAATGTGCTTCATAAATATGGGTTTCATTTGACGTCATTTCCTCACAATAGATGGACACAGGAATTTCAAACCCTTTCTCAATATCTATGAAAGAAGTATTTTTCCCTGTCTACACCGTCAGACATGTCTGAAGTCATTGAAAGAAAAGCAAATGACCAAGTAAAACCTAACAAGACTGGGGAAACATGCGAGCAATTTAAATAAGTGTCTTGCAATGATAAGTGTCAGGCTGCAATGAGGATTAGATGGCAAAATGACTAATTGAATCTTTCTACAGGTCAAAGGCATGAGTTGGATCACTGCTCCAGACTTTGTCACAAAGCTCATGCTCAGATAACATTCTTGCAGGAGTGTAGCCAGTAAGTTAAGCTACGTAATAATAGGTATTCAGATGTGACATGAGACACCTTTAATAAATTCATACGCAACTGGGAATCTGCCTTTTTATTATTGCATCTCTTCATTGAGAAGAAGTTACTTATTAGCCAAGTGTTCAGAATCCAAGAGAAAAACCTAGTTCTGCAAAGAAAGCTTCAACAACAACAATTGAAAACAACCGCAACCTCCACACAAAATCAACAAACTCTCCCTTCACCCCTACCTTCACCAAATCTCAACATACCTATAAAACACCAAGATAGTGATCCTCACTAATCCTAAATAAGAGCTATATAAAAGTATTTTGAACCTATATACCCATCAGCTTCCTTAAAGTTTTTTTGGTTACTTTAAGTTGAGGGATATACCCTCAACATATATTGAGTATGCATTCTGAAGTATATCATCAAGTTAATCATCCTTCTTCCAGAAGAACTACGTTGACAACGGTAAAAGAACCTGCAGTATTTTGCAGAACATCTGATTATCCTGAAATTTCCTAAGACGACTGTTTATAGTTATATATAATCAAGTCCAAACAGATAAAGAAATACCCTGGTGAGAAATTTCTACCTCATCTTTCAAAAAGGTCTTTTGCTAAAACCCTTAAATCATATTTTGGTAGAATTAGAAAAAAACCCCAAACAAACCACCAAACAAACCACACACCCCCCCAAAACCCCTATAATAATACACATTTGTACATATAATGGAAATGCATTTGGAAAAATACCTAAAGATTTCCAAATTAGATTTCCAAAATAGCTTAAGCTTTTATGATGAGCTAGTATGTGCAAATGTTTGTACACATAATGCAGATGTTGCCCTGTGGTATAAGGCCAGAGCTACACCTCCATATCTATGACCATTTTAGATGACTCTAAGGCAAAGTTCTGATAACTAACAGCGAGTCCAAATCATGCTTATAACTATATTCTGAGCTCTGCACAAAAGGAGCTACCCAACAATAACCAGCCTAATATCTGCTTCTCAAATATAATTCAAACATTTAAAATAATAATAGAAAAACCATTTTTAGCTCCTCTCCCCAAAGATCATCCTGTTTAAAGGGAAAAAAAAATTAAGCATTTAAATTGTGTAAGATCTAAAAGCCCAGACATTCCATTGTCACAAAAATTAAAGGCCCTTAGAAACAGACGGAGTTTGAAGAAAATACGCTATTTTTATAAGCCAGAATAAGGAGCTCTGAGTTTCCACAGCAGGGAACCTGCTTACACACACAAACCTTGACACTGATCAAGTGCTGCAGGCAAATGAAAAATTAAATTAAATAAAATCTTTAGTCTGCATTTTACATGGGAAAAGAATGCATTATAAATATAAATAATTGTTAGAATATTTATTTTTAAGTAAATAACAAGCATACTTTAAATAGTAAATGCAGTTATATTTATAAAAAGGTAGAGTTTCAGATTTTTCTGCTTTGGGTTATATATGCATATAAAAAGCTCAGTTTTAATTGACATTGTTATTAGGAATTTTCAATTCTTTCAGAAAGAAATAATCCACAAATAGTAATTCAAAACTCCATTATCCTTAGGATATCCCAAGAATTTAGGATGTGCAAAATAAAATTTCTGACATGAGTATCAGACACCATTTGAGGAGGAAGAAATTTCATTTTAGTTTGTTCCATAACTGAAAGATTACCAAAATAACTTCCAAGAAACATAACGCATAAAATAAAAATATTTTACCATGAACATTGTCCTGAAGTTGTTTAAGTCTGTTAAAAACTCCTCCACTGAAACTTTCTTCAGATCAATGGCATAATATCCCATCACATTCTGATAGAGTTTTTCCATGTTCTCGTGCATCCGTGAAAGTTTCTGAAAATCTTCTTTGGCGTGAACGAGAAAGCTGTGCGCTGCTGTTAAGGCTGCAAGAATACTCAGCAAATCACAGTCTTCACTTAACATTGATCTGTATTTCACACACATTTTTCATTTGTATCAAACTGAAGTATCAAAAGAACTTTTCCGTGTCATACCTGCCTCCCTGTATTTACAGTGTATATTAGGCCTAGGAATAAATCAGGATGCATTCATCAAATTTTCTCAGCGGCTTTAAATTTAAAGATTATTCTATTAGCATATAATTTTGTATGAAATATAAAGTATGAGACTAATCTAACTTCAAGCACCTATGTAGTTTATTTAGTATCACTGTCTCCTTATTGACGCTAAAGGCTTAGATACATAAATTAAAATTTATTTGGAATTTAGATACAGATACCAGTAGTCAACCTGAACACTTTCATACATCAAGAGATAGTACAGTCCCTACTAAAATTGAAGTAAAAATAGAAATATTAATAAACAACAGTATTATAAGTAAAAGCCATGAAAGATTAAAAACTTCACCTTAACTGCTTTTTTTAAAAAAAAAATAATTCTGTGGCAGCAACAGCAATGCATTCATTTCTATTCCTGGTGGCTGTATCAGGAATTTATGCATTTTCTAAAGCTATTTGCAATGTCAATACAACTTAATTAAATTAGCAATGAAAACAATAGAACTACTTCTACAAGAGATAGACAATTTATAAATAGCACCACAACACTGCATAACATAAATTAAAAAAACGGTGGTTATTCAAGAATTTTGATAATATAGTTAGACAAAGAAGCTTGAAGAAGAAATACTGTGTGGAGTCATTTCTTTATGTAGGACAACTTCATGAAGTGTTTACTTTAATGGAATGGTACCTGAACAAATATTTGTGTTCCATTATTTTCCTGCTCCAGGAATGACTACAGAAGACAACAAATGTATTTTTTACCTTCTAATTGCCCACCCAAACCATTACAAAAGAGAATTTACTGTGTTTGTACACTTCATACTACAGATACACACACTATGGTCACCTTATCTTATGAAGCATGGGATTTTTAATCAAGTTCATTAAAATGTAGACAATTGCAACTTTTATCCACTCATGCTGTTTTAAATACACAGTAACAGTCCACTGCTGGGTGAGAGCTTTCACCCTTCAGGGGTTTTGCAATGCACTCTTAGTTTTTTTTAGAGGCTGAATCCATTTGAATTTCACTATTAAATGTCCTTTTGGTTTGTTAACATTGCTTGAAAAATGCTAAGTAAGCAGCTAATGGTTTTCTTTTTGTGATTTAAGACTCCATGCCAAGAAGTCACACAATAATGTTCTCAGACACATGCAGGAAAGGAGACGTAAAGCACTTTCACAACATTCAAAGTGGTCACTATGATGGCTATTAGCTGGGTCTTTAAGGGCAGAATAGTCTCCTCTGAGAAAGTCTTGTAGAAAAGGTCTAACAAAGCCTAGATTTTGAAGATTTAAAACAATAGAACCTCCATCACCTCTCAGCCACCTGATTTCAGACCTTCTTTTTGTCTGACAAGGCTCCTTAGCCAGTATGAGCTTCTTTCCATGTTTCTATTGACTTCATAAGATACAGCTCGTGAGCAACCTCAGAGCTCAAAGAGAATTGATGTTGCTGGCCCACTTTCTCTTCCTTATCAGTTTGAATCTCTCTCCTCTACTTAGCTCCAAGACCCACAAAGCTTACAGGAAGCTACCTTTCAGAGTTGAGTTTCTTTAAAGTTATTAAGGACGTTAAACAGCTATTGGTGGGACAGTGTGGAAAGCCGATGAGAGATCAGTATGTAATAACTGCCCAAATATTAAATAAAGAAAGTATTATGAGAAACAAGGCATGACAAAACACAAGTTAGAAACTTCAAAAGAAATGTCAGCAGTTCAAAAAAAAACCCCTAACAAATCAAAACAGCAAACAACTTTAATAAAGAAAACCAGCAAAATTAACACAGTGAAATTAGAAACAAGCATTTCTATGACCTGTTTCCTTTTGATTGCACAATTTAGGATACTTATTATTTGTGATTCTTAGATCATTAAAAGAACTTAGGGAAAATTACACTATTTTTTTTTTCCAATTATGAGGCTGTTTATTTTCACAGAATGGAAGGGTAAAGGAAAATCAGATATATTTTTTTGTTGTTGTCACTATGTATAAGTGCCATACACATCAAACATTCCAGTAACTTTCTTCAGTTTTCTAGGAAGGTAAAAAAAAAAAAAAAAAAAAACTTGAGAAAAAAAAAAAGTTATCAATAATATGTATACCTCATCTTCTAAATGAATGATATGCCAGAATATATTGTGAAAAGGAGACTTGAGGGGGTGGGGAGGCAAGAGAGAAAAAATTTCTGTGCTATTCTGCAACACACAGCTACCGGTACAGTTATGTTAATAGAGTCCATATAGGCTGCTCAGCTTAATACTGTTAAAACTGACTCCCCTTGAATACGTGATGCACAATTTTAAACTCAAAATACAGCACTCTGGAAAGATGTTTTACTATCCCGTATTTCAATGCCAGACATGATGAATCCTGAGGTTTTTATTTTCTGCCTGGTGCATTATGGGATAGCTTAAGCTCTTGGCATTCTACTGAGACTGTGCTTCAATTTAGGTATTTTTAATAAGTCCCCTTCCTATTTGCCTTAAATATGGCTTTTGTTAGCCAGCACTAGCTAAACTGGAGACAACGGGGAATACTACTGAGTACAGCAATCCCAACTGTAATTATTATGAACAGGTTGATATATATGCATTATCAGCTACAGAATTCATTGGCTTTGGATGAATGAAGACAGAAGTAGAGCAGAGCTGCAACACAGGCAGGAGTAAAAGGGAATCAAGAAGTTAGGTATTTGTTAACTTTTTCTGAAGTGGCTTTACTTCACGGGCTGCCTTTTCGGCCTCCTGGGATTACAGATCATCATTCTGCTCGTTAATGGAACAGGAAAGCAACACAGGGCTGAGACAAGCAATATCTGTGGCAAAATTTCTAACTGCTGTATGTTTGGTCTTGCATATTCATAGCAGCTTTTTCATAGTGAATTGCTTGTCTGAAGCTTATACCGATTTTAATATATTGTGCTACATAAAATACTAGTATAGTGCAGGGTACCAAGACAAGTAAAAGCAGCTGTTACCCTAGAGGAGACAATGAGTGATGTTGATCTGTACCAAACATTTCCTTAAAAGACCCCATATTCACCACATGTGATTTTTTCACAAATTAACCTACACATCAAGGGCAGACAATCAAAAAAAAGATTATGATTCTGCATAAGAACAAAAGATTAACAGATGCATAGATGCGACATATATTTTCGCAGAATCTTCAAAATGGAATAGAGTGCCACCAGGCTAGCCCTCTGTAAAAACATGGCAAATTATTCAAAGACTATGCAAAAAGACTTTGAGGTCACATCAGGATTTCAACAAATGATTTTTTTTCTGAGGCCAAAGGGTGTGAATGTTGTAGGGCTTTGCTGCGGGTTACCCCCACCCAATTCTTGGGAAAAGAGTTGCAACCATATGAAAAATAAGTGTAATAGACTTCCTTGTATATGTATATAGGAGGTTCAACAGTAAAATTCTGTACCTGAATATAGTAGTTCAAGAAACACATAAAAATGTTTAGATTTTTAAATCAGTACCTTCTGAAGAGTATTTCTCAAATAATACCTTTTCCTTGACTCACTCCTACTTATCTCTATGCTATAATGTATTGTATAATGGCATGTATTTGTATCACACAGAGCTGCTGCACCCAGTCTGCATACCCCATATATTATGAGCAAAACCAGTGCTAGCTGTAACACACCTGAAGTTCAGACCAGATATTTAAGATGTGCATAAAGAAACTATTTTTGAGCTAAATTCACAATGTTTGCCGAAGCCCTGTCTCATTACTTGTCCACACAGTCAATATCCTGACCCTTTCCCAAAGAGCAACATACAATCTTTTTTCACCTAATGAGCTCACGTGCTAAAATCTTCCAAAGTCCTGAGGGTTCGAGGACAATCTAACAGGCTTCAGTTTGTGTTGCACAGAGGGAAGTTCAAACTATGAGGCCAATTAAGTAACCAACGGTTTAAAGGCAGCATGTAAGCTCTTCCTTGCAGCTGAAACAGGTTTCTTCTACCTCACTTGAGTCGGGCACTGACTTGGTGAAGTGCTGTTCCTTCCTTCCCTTTTTGCAACACCAACAAATTAACTTAAATGACAAGGAAAGAGGAATAGAGAAGTGAACAAAAAGAAAGGACTCTCTTCCTCACTGAAAGGCGGTAACTGACTTGTTTCTGAAGTATTAGTTCCACAAGCTTCTCTGAAAATCACCATCAGCACTACGATCAGTGGTAGGCTGAAACTTGTTGAGAGCTTCTCAGCTGCTACTTAGAAAATCACGAGAGGTGAGCTGGCCTGATAAGGAGCATGTTGACTAAATTACTTAATTAAGCTTTTAATATGCAATTTAAATACTCTCCAAAAGCCCATTAACTTTTTATTTTGAACGTACGAGGGTATTGTGTTCACTATGCTTTTTATTGAACATTTCACTCAATTGATTTAATGCCCTAGATCAGTATCAGTTCAATATTCTTTGACTTCCCTAATTAAAGCAAACAGAACTGCAATAATAACTATAATTTCTTTTCAGCTAGTATACATAAGATGACTGACAAACTAGCACAATCTAATATATAGGAGAAATATTCATAATTACAGACTTTGTCAATAAAAGAGTGCACCAACTGTGCATGTATCTGACTTCCTAAAGAAACAAGAATGCTAATCAGTTCATTAGGGGCCTTTGGGTTGTGATATTTAGCGACAGGATGTAGTAGCCTGCTTGTCCATGGAGTCTAATTGTACTCAGGATGAAAAATTATTTCCAACAAAGCACCATCCTTCCTTTCTCAGATTTCCTGCTGGTTTCTTTTTATGAGCTGCGTGCCTTTCAAGACATCAGCATCATTCAGCTTTCCTTGTCATAGGAATAAAAGTAAAGGCAGGTCCAGGCTTCATCACGCTGTGCAGGATTATCTAACCTTTACATCAAACCTTTTTTGCCTCGTAATTTATTGAAGTTCCTGTTTTTCTAGAAGTAAGCTTCTTTAATTAGTGTGTTCACAGACATTACTAGAAACCATATGCAACTTCACTGTTTTGAAATTGCTCCCTGTCTGCTGGGAGGGGAAGTCGGTGAGGGCAAACTATTCCTATTCATAATATTTACTGTTCAAAATATTTTATCTGAATAGCCTAATACAATGAAATAGGTAGTATGGCTGGTTTTACCTGTACTGATTTATTCTGAGTAATATCAGATATATCAGATCAGTAAGATTGTCCTGTTCCTGACAGCAGTCTATACCCAAAGATTAGGGAAAAAAAGAAGGAAACTAGGTAAGTAAAGCATGATAATTCAACTGATGTAGTATTTAGTTTCTAACAGTCTGCACACCAGTGATTTTTTCTGAGCTAAAGCTGCCTCTGGACTACTGTGTCTAATAGCTCCAGACATTCTATCTTTAGCTAACGAAGCCTTTTATGAAATTCATTTATATTTTCAGCCTCTACAACATCCTAAAAGTAGATGCTACAGTTTAATTGTTTGTCGAGTAAGAAAAGATTTCCATTTGTATATTTTAACCTGTTGAACAGTATTTTACATGAGATGAACCCTGGTTATTTATAAGACACAATGAATATGTTACTGACTTTCCGTCTATACGGCATACAAAATTACAAGTATTTTTGCTATATTTTCCTATTTTTTTTTAATTTTCTGCCTTAAGAGTCCTAATTTATTAAAACATCCCTGATGCAGAAACTATTGCATACTGCTGATCATTGTCACCATGCCACATCAGTAGCTATATAGTACACTTTTTGAGATGGGGTGATGGAAACATTCAGATAAAAGAGTATTACTGATTTTTATAGCAACTTATTTAAGTTTTCTGGTTGCCCTTGACTACAGTTATTCTAACATAATGAACACTTATATTTGTTCCAGATCTTTTACTCTATAATCACTGTTTTTGGTTTTGTTTTGTCTCTTTTTTTTTCAGATATTAATCCAGAAAAAGTCATTCCACTTTTGACCTAAGAAATTTTGTTTCTTGGAAGTATTTGTTAATACACCTCATTGAAAGGTTCATGGAAATGCAGTTATGTTCTATCAACTGTCCTGCCTTTATTTGCATACTTTAATAGATCTGAAAGGGATAGTTTCTTTTTACAAAACCCACGCTCACTCTCCATCATCACATTATATCTCCCACATATACCTGTTGGTTCTGGTTTTATTTAGTCTTCATCATTTTTCTTGCTAGAGAAGCCAGACTTGCAGATCCTCCTTGTAGGCCTTTTAAAAAACCTCAAGTGCTTCTTTTCAGCTTTGATTCCTTCTGTGTCTTGGGCTAACTAACCTATAGTCCAATAGGTTTAGATTTGAGTTTATTTTAAAATCTTTTCAAGTCTTTGGTGACTACTGGCTACTCCTGGGGATTTATTGTTATTTATTTTATATTTTTCTTTAAAATATATGACTCTTTCACTTGAGATTATCCTTCCATTCAAAATGTTGCACAGTGGGGTCAACCAAAGCTCTCCCTAAAGAAAACTAATGCAAAGTAAAAAAATTACCACTATGGCTTATCTTCTTGGCACACATTGACAATCTACATCTTCTCTGGCAGGATTACAGCTTTTGAGATGCTTGAAAAGGATGACATGTACATCCTCCTTTGCATTTCCTAAGACGATCACTACCTTTTTTAAGTGATTAGTAAACTGCTCTAATGCTCTTCATATACAGGAATGGAATTTCAACCCCTAGAAAAGTTATAGTGTTTACTGACAATGTCTGCCTATTTACCTTATCTGACTTTCATTATATACAATTTACAAACTTATATAATATTATTCCACTCAGTTCCTGACATGAAGTTTCCGAAATGCCCTGTATGTCAGTAACAATAAAGGCAAATGAGGAATCCTACACAATCATATTTTTTTTTAATTTTAGATATTTGATATTACCATAGGAGTACATAGTTATTCCTCAACTTACTTTCCCATGCTCTCCTTATTAAGTGAAGCTCCTTTTTTCAGGCTATTCTTCACTCATTCTCAACTGAATTTTGCTCATTTCTTTCCTATCTATTTTATAGGTATGGAAGTTTTATAACCACATCTCCAAAGAAAGCTGCATACTAAATTATCTGTTACTTCGAACCCTGGTCCTCAGCTTAAAAATGCAAAAGGTTACGGGGTATTTTAAGTGCCAGCATCGTGACTGTTTTGGATTAGATGATCATTGTAGGTCCCTTCCAACTGAAACAGTCTATTCTATTCTAATGGATTACAAAGAGTTTGTCCCTCTTCATAGGTTAGATTTTTGAGTAAGTGCTTCCCGTTCCTAATTTCCTAGCCTACACATCATTTTCTTAACCAAGCACAGACTTTGCAAAGTCTTAGTAATATTTCTAAGAAAGCATCAGGGATATATTTTCCTCTAACTTCCTAGCAATAGTTTATCTCTTGCCTTCAGGACTCCTCTCCTACTTGTCCTATTATGCTATTGGCTTCTTCAGTGACAAAACTTAGGTTTCCTACTACAGAGGCTCCATGCTGGTGGGCTGCAACATATCTCTGAAAACCACATTGAGCTGGAAAAAAAAGCCAGCAGCAACAACAACAACAACAAACAGAACAACCTCACCAACAAAATACCCGACCTTAAAAAAAATAGTAGGAACATTGAAAGGTTACAGATAACCCACGGAGTCCAGAGAAGGCCTAAAGCTAAGCTGTAAACACTTTGGTTGCAGCTAGTGTCCTGAAGAGGAAACTGGCCCTAATGGAGCGAGAACAGCTATATCCACTTGGCCTCAAGGTTCTTTGCCATCTTTTATTCAATAGTATGAGATTAATCAAGAGGACTTCATCCTGAGTGCCCCTGCCTTTGTACATAACAAAGTAGTCTTCCAGCTCTAACTGTGCCTGCAGAGGAAATTTCAACCTGCCTCTCTACCTGCTGATATTTCTGCTTCCAGGTTAGTCTCAGTGCCAAGCAAAGATGACCATCATCTGGTAGGGAGGTTTAAGTGAAAGAATGGGTTTTTTTTGCTTTAATTAAGTATCTTCATGTCACTAGGCTTTCTTATAAGGGAGACAGGCAATGAAGTTGGCTACAGGATTTGGAATAAATAGTAGGAAAAGTAATTTTGAGAAAAATAAGACCAGAACCCAGTTTTCACATGCTATGAATCACATTTCTGAAAGAATAGAAATTCTTTAGTTCTTGATAGCACGTACAAAAAAATTCACAGTGGTAATGCATCTACTAGAAAACAAATAAACACAGGGTGACAGACATCTTTTCCTAAGATATTCTCACATAAAAAAATCATTTAACACTAAAGTGAAATGCTTAACGTTCCTATAATAACTACTTTTCCCTAAGTTAAGAAACTTATACACAGTGTAAAAGCTGACATGAAGCATTTTTCTCCTCATAATATCCACTACAGAGGAATCCTTTAATTGGACTGCTCATCTATTCAGTTTTTGAGGGGAAAAAAAGTTGTATTTTTCAAAAACATATGCTACAGACTAGCCAGAAGTTATGCAAAGAAATTTAAAGTTTAAGGTAATGCAGTTAAATGACTTCTGTTGATTATTTTTTTTAAAAAGAATACTCCAAAGGATATAGACATTTTTGTTACAAACTTATCGTGCTTATCTTCAGGAACTGGAAAAGTCTGCAAATCCTTCTCAAGCTGTTGGAGTTGCCTCTCCATATGCTTCAGGCTCTTCTCCAGGTTTTCCGCTGAGACTAAAATACAGAACATTCATTCTGTTAACACCTTAAACAAGAAACATTGTGTGTAAAATGCATGAGTTAAAACCTTCCCCAGATCAGCACGCTATGTTTTTAATTCTAAGATAAAAGCACACTGAACTAATCACAGTACTAGGGGGTTACTCTACAACGTTCCGCTCCCCTCACTTATGCGGTTGCCTTATGCTGATCAGGTGTATGCTGTTTGAACACTGCATTTTGTTTTATTTTTATGCCTAAGGTTTTGCACTGCAATTAAGAGTCTGGTTTGAATAACCTGAGACATACACATGCCAGTCTGTCTCTTCTGATTAACCAAAGGATAAGTTTTGAAGCAACTCCAAGAACCACCAAGCTTTCTTCAATCTCATTCTGTTAAAACAGAAAATACGAACATTTGTATGGAAGAGCACGAAGAAACTAAGACCCTCAAAACACAGAGAAAATAGGGCTATTAAACACCTACGTATGAATCCTAAGCCTCTACTCCCTAATTCGAAAGCACGATGCCTGACAAAAACCACAACAGAATTTGTCAGAGCAAAAGTGCTTGCCAAGTTGGAGAGAAGTGGAAGCACTTGAGAGGGTGTGGCAGAGCAAACCAGGGACTCAGGAAAAAGGAAAGAGTAGAGATGAAACATCAGGGATTTATAGAAGGATGTAGAAAAAGTGCAGATTTTCTTTATCAAAAAAAGAGAAATAAAACTTTCATCTATTTGAATCATGGCATGGATGTTGAATACTTGATGTGAAAATAGCTGATTCAAATATCAAGACCATAAAAGTAACCTCAGGATAAATTCTGTTAGCATGCATTCTGTCTTGGATTCATATTACTGGAATCAGTTAAAACTAATTTCCTGATTGTTTATGAAGTAAAATTAACATTTATATATGTTCTGTAGGAACAATGTATATAGATAAGAACATACTCCGAATTTTAGACTGACTTGGTTTTTTGTTTTCTTTTATTCATTATTTATTTCACACTGGAACTGTAAAGGTAAAGCTACCTTAAACTTCATCTAAAAACATCCCTGGAGAAAGCCTGTGGCCCTATGATGTTACTAGGATCTGTTGATCCATGACATCACCCGCTCATTTAAGTTATGTGATGGAAATTAAGATACACACACTGAGCACATCTTTCTCTCATAAAAGCCTGACAGAGTTCCCAGACGACTAGAGTAAAAGGTTGCATAGCAACTACAATCCCATTCACAGCAGAAAGCTTAACACAACTATAAAATGATCAATGGCAACCTGTTAAAATGCTAATGTAACCTAAAAAAAACCCAACCCAAACAATTTGGAGAGAATCAACTTTTCTAAAAAGAATAAGGAAATATAAATACATGTTCATATATATAATTTATAACTCATCACAACTTTTAAAACCCTCTGTTTAGTCAGAAACACTGTTTTCCAACTGTATGTTAGACTTGGCAGATGTTCATTCTGCGATTGGTAAGTCCATATCATCACCAGGTAGGTCAGTTGGCTTCAGCAGTTAAGAAACTCTTGTTTGGGAAGCAGAGCTAAAATTAGAAGCTGTCAATGTTGACTACAGATGTGGTTCAGTCTTCACGGGTTCCAGAAACAAACCTGATTTTAATATAAAGTCCCACTTCTGCTGTCATAAGAAGCCTTTGAGGGTAGGAAGACACACAATTTTAAGACACTGATCTATTAGAAAGCTGCTAAGAAACACAGACTATAATACCCTGTGCTTAATATAACTATCGATAGGACCCTTCACAATACAGTTTGTCTTGCATAAAAAGAGTTCACAGTATAAATTAAAGTGACATGCTTAGAAAATGTCACAAAGATGAGACTCAGCAAATATACAGGTTTTAAAAGAAAACACCCCAAAAATCCTCAACCCACCAAAAAACTCTCTACATCAATTGCGGGTAGTAGTTGAGTAACAGCTACATTCTTTTGCCCAGATAATAATAAAAAAACAAAAACAAACAAACAAAAAAATACACCCCCCCCAAAAAAAAACCCTAAACAAAAAGCCTCAGTACCTAGAGCTGATTACCAGCTTGTATACAAGACACTTTTGAATTCTTGCTTTCAGCAAAGCCAATTTTTATTTCTATTACCTCACTTCCTTTGACCTTGAACAGGCACATATTTGATCAAGAATCTTTACATCTCTATCTTGTTCTGGAGGTTTTTGTTTGTCATGATCTGAAGTCATTCCTGAATATAAAAATTCAGCGTTCCTTTGATTTCAGCAGTGCATGACTATTAGATGTATTTTCCTTTAAGACTATATTTCTGGTGACAGCCCCAAGCAGAGGCTAACTCCCAATATGCTGGTATTCATTTTGGTACTACTGTCTTTCAACTTCCAATTTAGTGAAAACAGATTAAAAAAAAATAAATCAGATGTGTAAATATAAGCAGCTCTTCAACAAAAAGATCACATAAAATACCTGCCAACCTTCCCTCATGGTATAAAATCTGAAGGGGCACAGAAGAATGGAAGAAAAAATAAATAAATCCTAACTTTGACCTTAATCTTGGGAAGATTCAGCTATAAACCTAAGTCAAACTAAGCAAGCAACTCATATGACAGTTCGAACACAAAGTCAAAAACTGGGATTTTGAATGTTAGTAAGCTCACAAAACCAAGTTCTTCATTGAATACAATGCATGTGCACCCGAACAATCTCTCAATTCTACCCTCTGAACTTTCATGCCCCTTTTTTCAAAGTCTCCTAACATTTTTATAAGCAATAATTAGATTTCCTCACCTTCTGCCTTTCATGGTTAAAACAACTTTGTTCTTAAAGTTTTCTCTCTTGATTCAGGTTTTCTAATACATGATTATTCCAGAAGCCAGTGCAGGACTCTTGCACTTGGCCTTGTTGAATTTCATGAAGTTCACATGGGCCCACCTCTGAAGCCTGTCCAGGTCCCTCTGGACCACACAGCTTGGTGTTGGCAAAATTGCTAAGGGTGCACTCAATCCCATTGTCCACATCACCAACAAAGATGTTAAACAGCACCAGTCCCAATACCGGCCCCTGAGGAATATTACTTGCCACTGGTCTCCATCTGGATATCAAGTTGTTGACCGCAACTCTGAGTATAGCCATCCAGCCAATTCCTTATCCACCAAGTTGTCCATCCATTAAATCCATGTCTCTCCAATTTAGAGACAATGATGTCATGTGAGACAATGTCAAATGCTTTGCACAAGTCCAGGTAGATGACATCAGTTGATCTTCTACCAACACTATAACACCATCATAGAAGGCAACCACATTTGTCAGGCACAATTTGCCCTTAGCAAAGCCACATTGGCTGTCACCAATCACCTCCTTATTTTCCATGTGCCTTAATGAATAATTTACAGTTTACTGAATAATTTACAGTTTACTGAATAATTCTCTAAAATTGCCAACATACTCTTGATGCAGCATTTAAAACTAAAGTTAAATGACAAAATATAGCCTAAAAAATCCAAAAACACAACCAAAAAACCCCTCTCTATTGTCAGATGGTGATAGTACTAACAAAGAAATATTCCAGAGGCAAAAAATCAGAAGGTTTCTGTAAACACCAGCAAAAGCCGTGAATAGGTATTAACAGTGGAAAAAGATCTAGTTGGATATACTCACTCAGTGTCACAGAAGACTGAAAATACAATATTTATGTTTTTTTTTCTCCCAAGACAATGTTTTCTCTTGTAGTCTAGAGCCATTTTCTGGCTTTCTTGCCCCCCTCCATCCCTTTTTTCTTTTTTTTTTTTTTTTTGAGAGGAAGAAAGAGAGAGTGTGTGTGTGTCTCAAATGTGTATACAGTGCTTTTGCTGAGCTCATTTCCCCTTTTTTTTTTTTTTTTTTTTTTTGAGAGGAAGAAAGAGAGAGTGTGTGTGTGTCTCAAATGTGTATACAGTGCTTTTGCTGAGCTCATTTTATTCCTAAAGGTCGGACAATGCCATAACCTCTTGAGCCCTCAGACTTTCCCTTCTGTGGCCAAAGCAGACTCCAGCTGCACACATGAAAGAAGCAGCTGTCTAAGCAGGATTTAATTAATTTTCTCCTATTTTGAATTCAAATATGAGCATACTAATGTCGTGTAATTGGTAAACAACGCATAAGCATTTTTATACCCAGTTCCCTGGTAATAATAATTCCACGGTAATAATACACAAGCCCTGTCCTGCTAGACTTGTTATAAGCTTCTTTTGAGAACCTCCTGAGTGAAATGCAGCCTGATGCCACGTGTCTCTTTTTACAATGTACAGTTTAAGCTCAGAACTTAAAAATACGGGCAAAGGTGGAAAACAGAAACTCCTGAATGAAACAATTCACTGATAGTTGCTTATTCATTGTTGGATTGCTATTGAAAGAAAGAAGTGGCTATTAAGGCAAGGGGAAAAATGGCCAAGCAACAGGCCACAGCATGGGGAAGTAATATCTTCCAGTGTCACAGAGTACGGAGTGACAGGCTGCAGTGCTGGACTAAGAGCTGCCAAGAGACAGGATCATCTTATCAAAGAAGAAATCAAATTTGAAGGAGGGAAGAGAAAGAAGACCCGCACATCATTTGCGGCTTCACTCACTGAAGAGCTCTTGAGCCTCATTCACCTCGACCGTTGGTGACCCAGACCATGAAGTGCTGTGATGGCTGCAGCACGCTGGATATTCACAGCTAATTTAGGATGTGATTGTTAATAACTAACTGCTTTGAATATGTGGTGATAGTGATTAACAATGATTAATAATGATTTAGACTGAACATTAGGAAAGAATTTTTCACAGAAAGAGTGGTTGGGCTTTGGAATAGGCTGCCCAGGGAGGTGGTTGGGTCACCATCCCTGGATGGTGTTTAGGATGTGGTGCTGGGGAATATGGTGTAGGGGAGAACTTTGTAGAGTAGGGTAGATGGTTGGACTCGATGATCCCAAGGGTCTTTTCCAACCTAAATGATTCTATGATTCTATGATTAAAGTCAATCAAATAAAAGAGCAGACTGGATAAAAGCAATATAAATCTTTAGAATACAATAAAATAAAAAAATAGTAAAGTGTACTAAATTACTAAAATATTTCTTGTCTGGAATACTAATAGAAAAGTGGGAAAGTCATTATGTTTAAAAGAAGAGACAGCTTTAATTACATGAATCTTCAGGAACTGTCATATCAGTAAGCTCATTAGCTGCAATGAAAGTTCCTCCTGCTGATCTAAGAGTACTTAAAAAACAGGATTTGTTATACTTCAAAGCAAAAAAGGTATCTTTAATTCATGCACTGTAACAGTGAATTAAGCCTACTTCTAGTATTACAAAAGTAGAAACTGAAATTTCAGCACATAATAGAAAAAAACAAATTAAATATCCTGAAGTAAACTACAACTGCATAGGTCACATGTCCCTTCCTCCTTACCTGTCAAAGTTATAGTTTTTAAATTAATATCTATTTTTCTAAGGCAATAATTATTTTACATATTGTGAATGTTTTATCATTTACAAATACTATATAATACCTGTTAGCTTCACAACTAACAGACTTTGTCACTGCTCTTAAAACTTTTGCTATTTATCTTAACAGCTTACTGTGCAACAATTACTGGACAATTTTTCAATGAAATGAAAGGAGCAAAATGTTTTTTCTACAAAAGGATAAAAAGAAAATTAGTTGCTAAACATTGTAGCCTTCTGATGTTCACTCTTTTGAATCAGATATAACTTGAGAGAGAAGTTTTAAGAATGAGTAAATACGAAATAAAAAATGATATAAGGTACACTACAAGTGTACTGGCTGATACAAGGACAGTCATGACAAGGAAGAATTCTAAAAAGCATCTTTTAAGTAACTTGTTCTAAGAAATTTGTACAAGACTAAGCAATTATTTGATGGTGATCAAATCAAAACTAATAAGGAACCAACATGCATAGTATAAATCCATTTTTATAGAGTGTGCTCAACTTAAATTTTTCTGTTAATATTGTTCAAGTGGCTTTTACACATCTTTCTACCACATTAATTTTGATTTATAATTTAAAGGGCACTTGCAAATAATACCTTTATGCCACATATAAAACACGTAATTATTGTATTTGCAAAAATGAATATACACACAAGGAATAGAAACAGCTCAATGAAAAAAAAGTTTGCAAGAAAGGTATGGGAGAAAAGAATATTCTTATCAAACATCATTGATTTATTCTTGGGAATTACTTTTAAAAATTACTTCAGAGAGGAAAGTAAAACCATGAAGGGAATGACATTCCACCACTGCTGCAAGGCCCTAACCTTTCCTAGGACAACAGGTAGAGAACAACAATTTGAAACAAATACTGGAAGAAAACAGACCCTATATGCCTCACAGAAAAATTGAACATTATATTAGTAGAATACAGAACTAGGAAAAAGATTGATGAGTTTCCTCACCCAACAACTTTGAACCAACGAAATAGCATATATGTAAAGAGAAGCTTCCTATCAGATGACATGAAAAAGGCAGGCTGGCTGACTTCTGCATTATCAGCAGCCTGTAATCCCTAGACGTAACCTTTGGTGCCAGCAGTTTTCCAAATTTACTGGAAATATGAACTGCCTCCAGTAAATACAATCCAGGATGGATTATTCTTGTTAAGAACAAAACACTATTTCTCACAATGACAGAGAAACTCTCATCCCACAATAACTAAATTCTATTCTAAGGCAACTGGTATTTCTTCTGGAATAAGTATATTTGACTAGATGATCATTAAGAGGAAAAATTTTTTTATTGCTTCCCCTCTATCACTCTCCCTAACAACCATCATGATACCTTGTAACATCTGACACATTTCCCAGCTCACTGTAGAAGCCTCAAGGCAAATCATCCACCATCCATCTTGGTCAACTTGTCTTCATTAGCATATCAATAAGTTACGTGAGACCAGGTGAGTCTATTATGTTGGATAAGGCTAATTACAACCACAGATTCATAGATTTTTTTGAACTGGCCTTTTGGTAAGCTCAAGCAAAAATAACAACTTCATTAAAACTTTACTGTGCAAAAACTGGTGCATATTAAATCAACCAGGTTAAGAAAAAGATACTTCTGCAAAAGTACTAAAAGATTTTAAAAAAAAACCTCCATGAGCTGCAGTCTTTGGTATCTGCTGGATTTTCAAAAATTCCAGTGCAGGAAGAGTTTTACAAAACAAAATGCAATTTTGCAGGTAGGGAAACAAGTATAAGCAAACACATTGAAATGCTAATCTGTTAAAGACACCCTAAGCCTCTGTTGTCTTCACACAGTAAAACTGAAATGCAAAATACATCTCATAACGCACTGAAGTAAATTCAGTGTATAAACTTGAAAACATGATCATTGATTTCCATCCGACAACATGCTGAGCGAGATCAAAGATTCATCTAGTCAATAGCAGATGCCTTAAAAAGAACAGAAAACCTGGTCTAACTGATAATTTTACCGGCTACTCTTCAAATGTTCAAGTGTTTCGTATCTCAGAAGCTTTCCAGAAGACAATCAGCAGCTTCACGTAAGACAACTGTCTACACTGAAATAATGGTTTCTAATAAGGAATGTTTTAGTTTTTCTGGCTGATATACAAAATTCAACCACAATGCAGACAAAAACATACTAGTAATGAAAAAAAAATAATTTAAAACCAGTGGCCAGTTAACAGTGGGTTCTATGAAAATAATGCATAAAATATTGATTTTGTATACAGCAGAAACTCCTATTACCAGTACAATAACAGTACAAACAGAAGGGCTTAGAGCTTTTGACGGCTATTTAAAAATACTTGAACTTCTAAGTGGTTATAATGCACCAACTAAAATTGGAAACTTTAAGACCCATGATAACAGAAGGGGAACTCTACGTGAATGACCACTATCTCAAGTTCTCCTTAAGAAGCAGGTTTTGCAAAGCTGTAGTTCGTGGCAGGGAGACTGAGTGAGGCACAGGAGTGACACTCTACAAAGCAATACAGATAAACACTGATATTTTCCAAACTGACATAAACTAAAAAATGATTAACGGAGACAGCCCATCCAATCTTCTTTTCCTGCAAGAGTATGACAGTGCTGAGGTGTCATCAATTTCTAACTCCATGCTTAGTCAGTTTAAATTACTTAAGCTGCAATAAAATATGAAGAAGGACCTCTAAATTAAGAAATTAACTGCAAAAAATCTGCTGCTGCATATATTGAGATTTACCGTATTCTATGCTGCTTGATGAAGCAGTAAAGAGAGGAAATTATTTTTCCAGACTTTCAATGCTACTACTGCATGAAAAATACACATGGGGAAGATAAAACTGTTTTGATTTGTGTTTAGGAAAAAAAAAAAATATTGAATGATGGTATGACAGACTTTCTGAATTAAAAGACATCGAGTGTTTCTACTACACTTACCATATAAAAGACTGAAAGAGGGAAATAGTTTAAGATCTGTTAATAGAAAAGAACTTTTAAAAGAAATCTATTTTCGACAGTGCGTCTAGAAGATATGTTAGAAGAGATGTAATGTAAAATCCCATAGTAAATATTAGAGGACTGAACACTAAATATTATCTTCAAGACCACTCCCAGCAGCTCAAATTACTGATCTGTGCTACTGAGTATTACTGGCCATTTTAAAAATAATGTTAGCATAAAAGAAACATCATCTCCCATAAAATGCACTGCAATGCAAGCAGAATCAAAACTTTTAGTGAGTTATACGAACCTTTACTAGCTTTATCTAAATGCTGAAAATCCTCAACAAAATTCAGGACATCCTGATAACTTTCTTCACACACTTCTACAAGAAAATGGAGCAACGTTGTTTTTTGATCTGCCGACTTTGTGTCCTTCAGCTAGAGAGAAAAAAATAAATGTCAAAACACTGAGAATAAGATTACTTCTGAATATTTTGATAATTAATATATATTACTAACTCTGAACCAAAGAAAGTTAAGAATTGTTGAACTGGTACAGTTCTTTTAAAGAAAATCTTAAGTAACAGGCTGTTTCATTTTCCCCCTTGCTAAAACTCCCCAGAAAGATCACATTAAATATTTTAATTTTGTGCAATATTTCAGTTCTGTACTCCAAAGCAGTATACATTTCTCTTTTTAAAATGTAACTATTAAAGCTATATAGGAATTTGCAAAACTGTGAATAGACCCATGAAAGTTTATTAAAAAAAAAAAAAAAAGAGAAAGCAGCAAAGTCTTACATGCTGCACATCCACTCCATGACACGATTTCCTTTTGTGTGAAGCTAACTCTAGCCTAAAAAATATTTATGCAGCAGAACCTACAACCTCAACTTGCACAAGTTCTTGTTATCAGCTCTCAATAGGATAAACAAGAGTTCGTAGGGTTCATTGTTTAAAACCTTTGACTTTAAAAATTCTCAAGTACAAACTTTTCTTTCCTTTATTAATATAAAATTATTTTAAGCCCAGCCATTTGAAAACTTGCAGCTGCTTATGCAAAACCCCTAACAATTGACAACCAGCAAACATTCAGTTAAACATTCCTGTCACAGCCTCCCGTTTGAGCTAGTCTTAAATCATCGGAGAGATTTTGGGAAATAGAAAATGACATCTCATATGACAGAATTTCTTCACTACTTAAAAACTATTTCTGCATAAAGCAATTTAACAGGAAACATATACATGTATATAGGCACACACAAAGTATGCACACATCCTAAAGGGCTGCCACAACCGCACACAGACTTGTACATCCCAGTATCAGGGGTACAAAGTCTTTAGTGCAGTATTAAAACTAGCACTAAACAAGCAGAAAACTCATGTTAGTTTGTTTCAACTTCAAGAGTGTTCTTTAGTTTGGTTACCATGAAGAAATACAAATAATTGGAAATGCTGGATGGTTTAAGAGTAACTACAGCAACAAGGCAGAAAGGAAAAACTACCTTCATTTCCAAAGAGGGTTCAAAACCAGTCACAGAGCTATATGGGGATTACTTCCTAATAAGGAACTGAGAGCAAGCTCAATGCCAATTTAAATATACATACAAAATCATGTATTTATTTATTTTAATATACTACCAGAGTTTTCCAATGGTTGCAAATTTCTTATAAAGAAATTTTTTCACACTTCTTGTGCTTCCCATTATCCTCAGAAATCACTTAAAGGGCATTTTATTGATCTGATTTTAAAAAATAAATTAAGAGTATATTGTCTGCTTTTCCCATACTGTGTGCAAATTAAAAAGGAGAAATTTGGATGGTGGTTATCACTGAGGCTGGTATTTCATACTTCACTGTAAAAACTCAGTGGTTATTTTCAAAGACCACACTGATACTATCTTAATAAATATGATCACATGTACTCTTCCAGAATGTGTATGTTCTCCTTCAGGCGAGTGGATTAATAGTAACGTGAGACATAATTTTCAATAGAAACAGAAAATGAAACACACATATGAAAACAAAAAAAAATAATATCTATTTTATGGTCATTACTGCATACAGTGTTATAAGTTACTTCTGTACTAGCAACGTCAGTGGGAAGTGTCTCAATAACTGAAACATCACACAATTTCCACAAAGTGACACGGCTTGAAATACATATAGTTAGTTTTAAAAATAAACCAGTGTTATAAACATGCAGATAATTTTAAAAGATCAGTATTTAATATTATTAGGACAACAATATCGTATCTCTCTTCTGAGAATATGCACTCATGTTCTCTGATGCAGAACTACTACAGTTCAATTCTACATGTTGCAGGGACAAGGCAAAATATGGAATTGTCTCCTGCAAAGTGGATAGTTCATATAGCTCCCTATGCGTAGTTGAGCACCAATGAGGAAGAACAGATAAACTGTATATTCTTCAAATATTTCAGAAACCAACATCTCTGAAATACTCTGAAGGGCAGAAGTCACAGCAAATTTCTTAATTTCTCAGAACCCCTGCTGAAAGCTGCTGTGCAGACCACCAAGCAGCCTGCCATTTGCAGCTTTCTAGTTTGGGGCCTTGAAGGAATGTTGGTTTGGGTGTTTTTTTTCCTGTTTTAACACTAATATTTCTAATAGTTGAACCATCTTATTATTCTCAGAACAGAGGAGATTAAGCATTAACCAACAAACTACACATAGTTAAGAAAAATTCCCAAAATTGCACATACATATTTTTACCTCTGTGTTTCCAGACAAAGTGATCTGTCTGTGTAAGACACAGTTTCATAACCAGTGAAGGCTTGGCACTCACGGACTTCCTAAATGAGGCCACAATTGGATGAGGTGAATTAGGAATTGGTGACTGGTACCCTGATACACATTGGAATGGATAATCCAGCGTTACCTCTAAAACCCAGTTGCCCAGTACTGAAGCAAGCCAGAAAAATTGTAATAGCAACCAGATCTCAATCCCCTATCAAATCTGCTGATATATTGGAATGTCACCATGTGTCATGAAGGAAGAACACTGTGGCTGATGTGTTGAATAGTTGGGTCCCTGATTCTAAGAAACATGCACACACTTCCAAACCAGTTAAGTAAATACTCTATTCAAAAATATTATTTATATTAGCTCTTAATTTGGCCTTACAGCAATCTTCATAAATTATTAGCATACTTGGATTGCAAAAGCTTTCCACAATCTTCCCCATTATCAAGTTCTCAACTACCTTTGCAGTTAGAAAGCTTTCTTAACTTTTAAGCAAACTTCTTTTGTTATCAGCAAAGTCAAATAATTCCATCTCCTACTTTAGTGTCATAGAAAAGAAATGTTCAAATGCCTTATCATAAATTAATAACAAAAGGACACCCTTATGTCCACCTCATGTTCCTGTCCTATCATTTCTAAGCTAAAAACACCCCAATGTTTTTTTCTCAGTTTAGAAGTGTTACACTTAACTATCATCTGGATTCGCACCATTCAGTCTATAAAGCATAGATAACGTCTTATATAAAAGTTGAAAGAAGAAACAGGGAAATGATGACACTGAGCAACAACAAAAGAGAATCAGATAAGGAGAAAATTTATGTAAAAGAGAAAACAACTATATTAAAACAGATTAAAATGTGACAGTCTTCAAAGTGCTCAGACACGTAAGATAGTACTACGCTACTATGATCACAGTGATACGGTCTTTCATAATCTTATTTAGTTTGTGGGGTTTTTTTTTATTGTTGTCTCAATACGGATTCTTCTAAAAGTTTAAATGCAAGCCAGTCTCAAGATGACTGTACACAGATCAGATGCATTGTTCAAACCTCAGCTGGTACTGAGAATTACGGGGGGAAAAATTAACCACAGGGAAAACACTAAAACAAGGTATTTAAGTAACGTAATAAAAACAAATGGAAAAGTGAATGTAACATTCAAATGGATCTTTCAAAACTCACTTTACATAAGGAGCTGAGATTATATCCAAAGGTTTGGGCATTCCGAGAACCTGCATTCATGTAGTTTCCCATTAGCAATACTAGTTCCAGCAGCTTGCTAAAGCTTTTACTCTTCTTTATCTCTTCACAGGCAGCACTGACAGCCATGATGTCAGGTTTGATGTTGTTCACCTGCTCCTCAAACTGAAGCTTAAAAAGAATAGCACTGAGCCGTGGCCGTAGTCTCTTCACGTTGCTCATCTGATTGAAAAGAATATAGGAGATTTCCTTTAAAATTCATGCTACACTTTGGCACTGTACAAATGCATACAATCTGTAATGATTTATTGGTGTGACAGGCTTGAAGAAGCAATATATCTGCTATAACTGATAGCAAATGAACGAATGAATGAGAGACACTTGGGTAAGCAACTGAAATCCCATCTTGTGGTTAATACCAACTGCCCCCATCCTTTCCCAATAACTAGTATGTGTAAGCAATAAAAGATAAAGTGTCATCATATATCACATCTGTCAACTCATATACCAAATCCCATAAAACTAATCCAAGTTTATGACCCAGTACTTGCAAAGTAATAAAAGTAGTTCGCAAATTTTGTATAACTCAGGATGTATCAAAACAAGGCAAATCTCATTTTCTGGTGCAAATATTTAAAAGCTGATTTCAATAAGAGCTTACTATAAACTTGCAGGAAAATAAGTTTTGAAAAATATCAGCTATGAAACACTTAATATAGCACACGCTAATATACACCAGTATTCATACCCCACTATCCTACTGGACCTTATACAGTTAATTAGGCAAAACAGAAAACTCCAACAAAAACGGTAGCTTCTGTAGATCATATGCAAAAGACCTGGCTTTTTCTATGGTTTACTGGTCAGGGATTTTCAACAGAAGTTTCAATCTTCCCATATCACTTAGGTCACTGAATTCCCACCCCAGAGATTCTTTGCTAATTATTTACTATACCCAAACAACCAGACTCCAAATTTCATTGCTTCTTTAAATCAAGGAACATTGAATGCATTCAATAAACTAAGTCACTCCATCTCCCAAGTTTCCAACAGAATACTCATCCTTCCAACTCTACTGCGGAAATCTTCAAACATTTTTTAGGTTTGGCATCACATACAATCCCAGAAGCTTGTTTTCTTCCATTCTTGCCCCTTTTCTCCCTACCAAGCGTTACATGTCCCTTCCTTTTACCTTTCCATAGCAGAAATGATGTTTTCCTCCCTGTCTTGTGGCTCTGTTTGCATGTGAGAAATACTAGTCTCAAATTCTTCCATGAGCTTCTTCCTTATCCCTGTTTTCTCACCAGTTTGATGAATTCTGTAAGAACTTCTTCCCTATACTTGTGTTTTTCCCTCTCAAGGCAAGGTTCAAGACAATACTGCCTTGATAATTCCTGAAATCCTAAACTAGCTTTTGTTTTGGTTTTTTTTGGTGTGTTTTTTTTTGTAATTAAAAAAAACCATACATTATGGCTTCCAGCTATCAATACTTCTCAGTGCAAGAAAAGAAGCAATAACGTTGGCACTTTTACTAAGTAATAAGTTTCATACAGTGGCCTTAAAAGTTTATCTTTAAGATGGAAATACCTCCCTCCAAAACACATAGATACCTAACATTTTCCAGAATATTTCTCAACCCATATCTAGCCTATCAATGTGAAAATAGCTCTGACAGTGCAATGTTCACAAGTCGTTTGGTGCTGATTATCCCACAATTGACTCAGTGAAAAGGATAATGGTGACACCTCTTCATCCATTTCAGCATAAAGTCAAACAAGGTATCTTAAACTGGTACTGAAGGCTGTCTAATCCAAAAGGCTTCATATAGAAGTAGAAGAGGATGGAATTTACAATCTATTTTATTGGTTTTACTGCGACAGCAGCAGAAAATAAAATCAGGTAGAGTTAACATTTTATGCTACTAAGCCACTTCTGCAATGCCTGCCTGGCAGTGCAGCCACCTGACCATGGCGCATTGAAGTAAACAGACCATTTGCATTTAAGTTCAGATAAGAAATCTTGAAGTAAAATAAGCAATCCTTTCCAATAACCACGCTTTGGTTTGCATCGCAGAGCAGAGCACACAGACAGGATGTCTTGCAGATGAAACCAGGTTGAAAATCAACTGCACTACTGAGCTTTAGTCCACAGACTGCCTCCAGCCTGGTCCTAAAGTAAAACACTCAAATGTATATAGTTTAAACATTAGCTCAGCACAACTGTAGATAGATATTCTGGACTAAATAGCACTCACAATGTGGTAAAATTCTTACTTAAGTACGGCTAAGTAAGGATAATAGGATCTGAATTTAAATAGAGCATTTCAGAGTGAAATAGAAATGGAAATACTTAAAACCCACCTAAAAGGAATATAGCGCTCTTACAACTTTACATCTCATTTAGGAATAAATACCTAAAAGAATATCAAGGTACTGGACAGAGGCAAATGTCACAAAGTCATTCGCCCAGCTCCATCAGGAAGACTCAAACTCCTTTTCCTCAAACAATTCACTTACTAGATTTATATGAGCACTGCTACTTCTTAGCATATTGAGAAGAATATTCTTAATTTTAAGTTTTGTTCTCCGTTCAGGAAAACTTTGAGACTAGACCAGAAAACCACAAAACTCCACTGAAATCATCCAGATTTCTAACATCTGTCCCTACTCGGGGTGCAATAGAGACAATCATTAATACCAACCCACGGGAATTAACAAAATAAAGTGTAAGTGGTATTGATTTTAAATTGCTCCAAACTCAAGATACTACAGAACCAGCAGTTGATGCATCATTTATTGACTCTGGGCTTCTCAGACAGATTCTTGAAACTGAAATAGTCAGGTACTTTAGATCACAAAGATCTGCTGCACAAACTTAAGCAAGAACATATGCGTGAAAGATGTAAAGTTTTCAGCAGAACCAGCTGAACTACAACAAATTATGAAGTTCTGTAAAAGTCTTAAGGATGGATGCAGAAATAATGTAATCTAAAAAATCAGAAACAGCAGTGCATGCAATAGAAATGCCATTGGGCTTTCTTTTTATTATCACTGTTTTTTAAACACTCTGAAATCCATAGCTCATGTATAACACGTGTTGTTGGCACTATTTGTTTACCCATTTGCTAAGTCAATAATTGACGAGGGAGGAGATGGAGAGTTCCGTTAGCAATATGTGGCTTTCTCTGATACATGTAGGCTACAGAAATATTCAAACTGTAAAATCCATACACCTTATCCCAAGAGATGCTAAGAATTTAGGTATTGCAATGTTTAAAGGCTTATGTTCATGCCCTATGCTTTTTTATGCTCAGTACAGAAGTCCACTTATGTCACAGAATCTTCTAGGTTGGAAGGGACCTCAAAGATCATCTTGTCCAACCGTCAACCTAACTGACAAAAATAGACACCCGCACAACAAACAATGTCCTTATAGTGCAGACAATCCAAATAACTAAAAGAGGGAAGTTGAAGTAGAAAGCTGAAAAGAGTGGACTAAGCATGTCACAGAGAGCTTAGTGTATGGGTAATGAGTTCTATTTTTCAAGTAACGGTCCATAAGAACGTTCTCACTACATGCAAGTCCAAATGGGAAGTGACAACTGAGTTGAGCTACCCAGTAGTAGTTCTCTCAGCCCTTTATCCAACAGCAAAGGGAGGTTTTTCTCTCAAATACAGCATAAACCAGAAGGCACCTGCAAGAGCTTGCCATCTGGTAAATGTGTACTTTCACTGCCGGCTTTGTTGATGTCAAGTAAAGGAACATGTTTCAGAAGTTACAACACTGACATTACATTTTGATCACTGAACGTGTTTCATTCTTACCACAAGTTCGCAGAGAAAAACACCACAAGGGTTCCAGTTTCACAATATACCTTCCTTAAAGGATCAACAGTGCCCAGACTGTCAAACCACCTCAAAGTGTTCCCAGCCAAAGAGAAAAATATCAGTTACAGCCAAGACGACTAAAAGAGTAAACTGGAAGGGCATCCCCTGTGGAAAACATATGGTTTTCATCACTGCAGCGTCAGTGGGTGCTCCAGAGTGCATAGATAAAAAGTGTGAATTCCTAACACTTATCTTTAGATTCAGGCACTCGAAAAGCAGGAAAAAAACACTTTATATAAGGAAGAACTGACACCTTAACAGACCTTTTATCATGTTTAAAAAGAAAAAAAAGAAGATCCTGCTCAACTTGAAATGAGAAGTCAACATGCCCTAATCTTAGTGAGGGCCACCGGCTTTCTGGAAAGACCAAATATTTTTTCAGGGTATGGGAAGTCAATCCCATCTCATTTTTATTGAGATGTTTTTATGGCTATGTGGAAATAGTATATCTTTCTTTGCCTTTGACATGTTCTTTTTCCCAAATAAGTAATAAAGTTAAAAACTGTCAACTCAAAATTAAAATTACTTACAAGAAATCAGAAAGTCTTTATACTGACAATGTTGATGTGTGCACATGTAGACAACTGAAGACTTTTCAGCCTTACTAGCACTGATAGAAGGTACGTCCTGATACTCTGTTTCTCCAACTAAAGTTATAAACAGCTTGAATTTGCACCACTGACTCAATTTCTTGCAAATACAAGGTCTTCCTAAAGGATATTCAGGACAGAAGAGAAGGGAATGTACTGTGATACAGGAACAACACCTACCAATGACCTCCTAGCTGCACACAAGTAGCCTTCTCTTCTCTTGTGGATGACAGTGCACTGATGGACAGTGTAGAAAATACCTGGGTTTTGATTGCATCATGTTCAACACAGACAGACCAACAAGGCCAGTCTGCAGATCTAAGAAATGAGGGCATTCATTTTGAATACTCCAGAAATCACCTGCCTTACGAAATACATCCAAGTTGCCAATGGAAACTACAACACAGCTGTCAAAATAAGCTGAGTTTACAGTCTTCATGCTGAAATTCACAGGTAGGTATATCCTACTATGAAAAGAAAGCTGATTTTTTTGTCTTGTTCAAAAAATACAATTAGATTTACTGACATCTTGATCAGAACAGAACACAGAGACAGCATTTGTTTCTCTAGGTTGAGTTTAGACAATAGTATTTTCCTAAAAAGGAAGCATCCTGGAGTCGAAGGGTCTGAATTTCCCAAATTATTCTATTTTTAGCAAACAGATGTCAGGAAAGCTACTTTCATTAAAAGGTACATATGGAGCAGATGTCACTAGACTGAAAAGCTTTCCTCATGGGAAATCAAG